CTTCCGAACAACCCCAGTCCCCAATTGATTCGAATAATCGACGCTCTACTGTAAATGCTTTATTAAAACTTAGTTCTTTTTAAATTTCTATTCTATTATATATATATTTTTTCCAACATATCATATAAATGTTTAGATATACATGATTTACATTGACATATTCTCTCACTCTCAGGGGTAAAGATTAATATTCCCTTTCTGATAAAACAACAGCCTATGATGTTACACTAATGTAATAATTAATCATAAAAATTCAATTTTGTAACTGAATTAACTTAATCTTAATTACCATAAAATTGTTTGAATTATAAATTAATGAAGACTCAGTCCAGTCTTTTTTTCACTAGCAATATAAAAAAAAAACCCTAAAAGATCATCTTGGGTCAATTTATTAACCAAACACTCATAATCAAACTCTCTTAACAGAAACACATATTTTAGAAATGTTATATCACTGTTGATACAATAATTAACCATATATCTACTTTATCATGTTAATAAAGTCTCATTCAGACATAGTCCAGTAATTTAGTCAGTGGCATAGCGTAGTGGGGCGGCAGAAGCAGCCCGCCCCGGGCGGCACTTTTAGGAAGCGGCAAAATTTCACAATAAATAATAATCTCTTGTAAAAATTTGAACCATTTCATTTCATATTTTTGTCACATCTATGATTCGAACCGATTGAAATGAGCATGGAATTTTTCGTTACTTATTCTGTGACGAAACTGAATTTTAGTCTTTTAAATTGAGATACCTAAATAAGGGGGGCAAAATTTTCCTCCACCCGGGTGACTGACACCCACGCTATGCCACTGAATTTAGTAATGTAACAAGTGTGGGCAGTAATATTTAGTTGAGTAGTTTAGTAAAATGATTTAGTTTAGTACATCCATTTAAATCTAGTTTTTTTAGTTGAGTAGCAGTACTATTGTCACTAACCAACTAATTACATCCAGACAAAAACGTTTTTAGTCAAGTTCATTAGTTCAGTATTTCCTATATCATTATTCGGTGCCACGTGAATATGCCTACTACATCTGTCTATCTTGAAGCTTATTTCATGCTCAACTGTTTTAGTCTGGACACATTTTATGCACTAAAACATCTAATAATAAGTTGCTACTAACCATTCATCTAAATTACTGGATTACTAAATGAGCTTTAATGGCAGCATTTAAAGTGGACCAGAACATTATTCAAGTAAATACTTTTACAGCAAATTTTAAATACATACATAGAGCAAATTTTTAAAAATTATTATTACTTTGTTTCTTTTGAAAATTCGATTTGTTTTATGTTTATAATACTTTATAATAAGTAACATTTTTATTGTTAAAAATAAAAAAAGTTATTATAAAAGTATTAAGTTGAAAGTGCTTTGTATGTTCATTTAATCATTTTGTAAACATTTTAACATGTCCAAGCAGCTCAACAGCATCACTAAGCAGGCCATATTAACTAAATTTTGTTCTAAAAACTGTAATAAAAAATAAATTAAAAGACCATTCAAAGCATCACCTGATATGGAAACAGTAAAAACGTTAAATTTCGGCTTAGGAAGAAAAAAATCTATACTATAATGGAAGTAATTATGAAGAGACTATTATAAACTGTGAACAAATATGATGAGTCAAATATGAGTCTATATGATTAAGTTTCGACAAGTTCTGGAACAGACTATTCACTACAGAATGTTGGACTCATGAAGTATTTAAAGAACACAAGGTCAAAAACCTGTTGACCTGTTGTTAAAAATAGAAAAGTAGACTACAATGTATACCAAAGCATAAACAGTTTAGTTATTTTTGGTGGTGGAAATCAACTGTAAAATAAAATTAATGGTACTACTAGAACAGCACAACAATCTTCAGAAAAAAAAAGTCCAGAACTTGTTAGATTCAATACTCACTAGGCAGCTCTTCAGACAGATAACAATATCTTGCCAAATTATTCAAAGTAGCAACAACTGAATTACAGGAATTAATAGAATATGTCTTTCAAACTGCTTACTATGTTATGAAAAACAATCACCCAGTCCATGACCATTCTGATTTACTTGCCCTACAGAAAACAAATGGCCATGATGTTAAAAAATAGTTCTTTATTCTAATGTAACTGGTATGGATATTATGAATATTTGGCAAATCAGCTTGGAAAAAAATAATATGTTGATTGAAAGGATATTGAGAACAAACAGAAAAATTTCTGTTCTTTGTGATGAAAGAACAACTATTAGTGAAAGATCATCAAAACCTATATGAACAATGAGGAACTAATGTACTTCATACTGGAATTGATTGAATTAATTTAATTGCTGACATCATTTTGCAAACCCTAAAAAAAGTAGTTTCAGTCATGATTGATTGTGGAATGCAATGTGTATAGTGCCAATACAATGTTGAGTAGTAAGAATGGCATTTGTGCTAGACTGCTGATCACATTTCCAGATCTGTATGAACCACAGGTTGGAGTTAGTATTTGCAAATGCAGTGGAATCAGTTGCAAAAGTCAATCTCAGTAATGTATTTTTTTTTGGATATGTTTTATGTGTTATACAGTCTTGTGCAAGTGCAGTAGATGTAACCTTACAGAAGATAGGATGAATACTTGGTGTCCTTTCAGTTTCTTCTAGTTGTATGTATGTATTAGAAGTTACCATGCTTTATATGTTCTCTTGAGCTGCAAACAATACGAACAGAAACAGGAATGATCAGTAAAAATTTGAAGGTTTGGCTGGAAAACTCACTACAATGGGATTTATAAAGAATTGGAATTAATGTACAATACAGCATATTACAGGAATTAAAGGACCTGTCTCTGCAGCTTAAAGCAAGAATATTACACTCACAGTCATCATTTACTTAATACATATATTTTGCAAATTGAAAGCTTTAAAGTAAAATTCAAGGCATATTACACCAAGGTAAAACTGGAGCAAGAAAATAAAGACTTGTCTTTTCACAGCATAAAAATCAAGATGACATACCATGAAAAACTATGGGCAGTTCATTCAAGTAACTTTTGACCAGTTGAAATGATATTTACACAGAAACCCTATCCTGAACTGGATATATGTAATATAACAACACTTCCAAACCTAAAATCCAGAGAGAACAAAAACATTTATTGATGAACAAACATTTTCAACCTTACAAAGGCCATCTTCAGGTTCTGCTGGTAGATTTCAAATTGAACATAAGACAGAATTTAAATAATGCTTATTTTGTAAAAACTTTGAACATAGTAATAAGTTATGAAATAAAAATAAATACAAAAGAAAAACAACAGATAAAAAAATTGGAATAAAATATACCCAAAACAACTCCAAACTGTTTACAAAACATTACATGATTGCTAAATGTACACGAATACTGCCCTCCAGAAAGTGACAAAGGGGTCATGTCCCTGCTGTTGCTAGCCATTCCTCTAGAAATAGCTTTGTATATCTCAAGAATCTCCAGGTATTTTAAATGTGATGGTAATGTGTTACAATGTAGAAAATGAGCTTTATAAAAGAATATTTCTACATCTTTGTCTCATGCATAGGCAGCTAAAGCCATACCATCTGATTTCCTAGTAATTAAGTCATAGTGTTCTTAAACCTAGTCATAAGGGATCTAAAGGTAGTGCTGATGTATTCATAGTGTCAATCAACTCTATAGTCATGCAAAAGAATTGATATACACAAGGCTATTTCTAGAGGAACAGTTATCAACAGCAGGGACAAGACTCCTATATCACACACCTGGAGAGCAGCATTCGAGCACATTTAGCAACTATGTAATGTTGTGTATACAGTTTGGTCCTAGTATTTATATTATGTTCATATCTTATCATTATATATTGGCACTCTGGTTGTTTTCAAGTATATTTTATTCCGACTTTTTGTTCTTTATAAGTATTTAACTTTTTTGTATGTGTTGTTTTCTTTTGTATTTGTTTTTATTTCATAACTTATTACTGTGTTTCTGCACGTGCAAAGTTCATACACAATGAATTATTAAAATTTGGTTTTTTGTTTGATTTACATTCAACCAGCAGAGTCTGAAGATGGCCTTTGTAAAAGTTGAAAATGTTTGTTCTTCAATAAATGTTTTTGTTCTTCTCAATGGATTATAGGTTTGGAAATGCTGTTATGAAAAGATATTTACTTCTGGCTAATGTGTCTAGTGCAGTGGAAGATGTTTCTGTTTCAAAAATAGGAACATATAATTAAGATTTTGTGCAGTTTGGTGATATTAAGTTTAAAATTTACTAATCAATTCAAGTTGAATATTCAGGACATCCATCATGCTTTTGTTGATCATAAAAGTAGCAGTGGAAGAATCATTCAGGAACATATACAGAAACTACTGATATGTATAAATACTTTGATGGTTAGCTCAGCAGTGTATCAATCTAGGTTTAATTTAATGAATCTACTTTTGACAGATCTGTGCAGTCAAATCAGCATGTCCCCTTTTTTGACTTTATGTTTAGGTCTGCAAGCGGCCCACCTTTAAGGATATGAAACCCAGTGCTATACATTGAAAGCTGACTTAGAAAAAGAAGATTGGTCTTTAAAGAGTCAATGTATGAAAGGAACAGGAAGAAAAAAACTCCTAGCTCTGCTTGAAAATACCTAGTGTAAAACTATGAATACCCATTTCTGACATTACTCCATTCAGATATCAAAATTTTAAATAAAATAAAATAAAATAAAGAAAAACTTGACAAATATTTTTAAAGGAATGATAAAAAAAATTTAATTTTATTTCATATACAGACCCTCTGTTATGAACCTCATTTAGCTGATTACAGTAAAAAATACAATCCTCTTTAAACCCTGCTTAATGATGAGGTGTAGTCAAAAATGGAAGAGCTATTTTTGATTAACTTTCATAAATATCTTAATTCCTGGTCCACTCCTGAACTAATAATATATTTACTAGGTTTTCCTAAAGAATTATCACTTTGCAATTAACAATACCATATCATTGTAAAATATTATAACAACTTACCAGCTTTTAGAGGTCGTGGAACTCCACCAACAAACACAGTTTTGCGAGGATCTAGAGGCATTGATGCATCAAGAACAAAATCTGCATCACTGAGACGCCATGGACGAATTTGAACCTGTAAAAAAGTTTAATAAAATTTTGGAAAACAGTTAATTTTATAATCATTCATTTTATTATAAATTAATTTATTTGAAATATTATTTATATAAAATGTTAAGTTAACATTAGTCTAATATTATATTATATTCTTGCAATTTTATTTATTAACATATTTTCAATAAATATTTTGAATTAACAAGATCAATTTCAATTGCATCTTTTCAAGTCTAAATATAAATGTAATAAAAAACATTTTAAGTAATAAAATTTTGACATCCTATTGAATGGCCTGATAATTACAGTTTACAGCTCTTTACCATATAATACCATAAAAGGAAGCTCATCTTTTACTGGATGGATATAATTATTATTATTGTTAATTTATAACTTAAATCAGTGATTCTCAAACTTTTTCAATCCACCGCCCCCTTTGTTCCATAAAGTTATACCCAACGCCCCCTAACCCATTTTCTCTTGTATGAGAAAAGGATTGGAAATATTCTTAGGAAAACTTTTCTATGAATCTCACACTTTGTGCCCTTACTGTACATTGTTCTCATCATCTGGAAACCATTAAACGCAATGTTTCCTCTTATCAGCCCCAATTTTGCCTTTGGTCACCGTTCAATACCCTGCCTCTATCATAGATCTATTCATCGCGCCAGAAGGGGGCGTTATTGCTTACTTTGAGAAACGCTGAGCTAAAATAAAAGTCAATGTGTTAGAAATATTCAAGTTGTGACCTTCAATAAAAAATAAAAAATATATAAAATGTCAACATTTTATATATATTCCGTCGAATTTTTATATATAGAATTTGTCTGCCGTCGCCCCTCTATATTTCCTTAACGCCCCCCAATTCTCTTTGAGCCTTCTACTGCCCCCCTGAAAGCCTCCAGCGCCCACAAGGGGGCGTTATCGCCCACTTTGAGAAACGCTGACTTAAATTCTCTTTAAGTAACTGTCTTCTATAATTTTAATGAAATGAATTATTAAATACTAGCCACCAAGGGAGCAAGCCAACCCATTAGGTAAATGGGCTGGCTTGCCCCCTCAGTGGAAAAATAGTGAGGGTTGATGTCAGGAAGGACATTCAACTGTAAAACTTTATATGCCAAAACCAAATAAAATAATGGATAAGAGAGAATATATGAGTTTGGTGACATCCTACGAATGACATGCAGTCACGTTACCTGAAAACTGCAAGAAATGATCTTGGGCAACTGAATCAAGGACAGGTTTGGCTTAAGAAGTGAGTCCAATGAAAGGAAAAGAGGAGGGTGTTTAATGTTAGAATGGGAACAGTAAACATTGAGACAATGACTGGAAAGATCAGAGAGTTAGTGGACTTGAAATGAAGAATGCTTAGGATCTTATGCCTGCAAGAAACTAGGTGTAAAAGCAAGAGAGCTGGGGATAGATTTAAACTGTTCCTGGAGCAGCAGAAGATAAAGCTGATAAATTGAGTAGGTATTATAGTCAACAAGGAGTTAAGAAAAGTATGTGTGAGGTAATATAATCAGAAGTGATAGGATTATGAGTGTTAAGCTGGAGAAGAAGGAAGTTTTTTCACAATAAGATGTGTGTATAATACCCAAACAGGCAGGACTCATGAAAAAAGAAAAGGATAACATCTGGGTGGAATTAGATAAAATTGTAATGGAAATATCAAAGAGTGAGAGGTTGATCACTGGGAAGTGATTTAAATGGACATGTGGGAAGATGTAAAAGAGAAAAGAAGAGCACATGGTGGATAGAATATAGATGACAGAAATAGAGAGGGAGATAGAATAGAGGAATATGCAGTAGCATTCAATAATAGGTAACAGTCAACACTTACTTTAAAAAGAAAGAGAATCAGCTTATAACATACAAAAGTAGGGATAGGATAAGACAGATTGAGTACTTTATATTATCACAAGAAATATCTTAAGGAAATGAGGAATTGCAAAGTGATTAATAAAGAAAGTGTAGCTGCACAACACAGACTGGTATTAGTTGATTGAGTGATAACAGTTAACAAAAAGATCCAGAGAAACCTAGGAAAGAAAGAACAAATGATAAAGTAGTGGAAATTGAAAGAGGAGGACCTGAATGGAGAGTTTAAGGAAAAAGTGCTTAAAAGAATAAAGTTACTGAAAGATGTGCAGAAATGATGGGAGTTTAATAGTCATATTATAAGGCAAGTTGGAGAGGAAGTATTGGAAAAACATCAGAAAAAGGACCACCCCATGGAGAAAGATTCAGCAATGGAATAAGGAGGTCAATGAATCCATGTCATACTGACACAACTCTTTACTTGAGTCATTGCTCCATTATACATTTCCTTTAAAAGTCTTATATACTTTTCTGGTATTTCCTTTACCCTCATACATCTCCATACCTCCTGTCTAGGTACCCTATCACACACTTTCTCCAAATCTATGAATACCACATGCAGTTCTACCTCTCTGTACCTTATGTACTGCTGTAAGAATGTTGGCTATGTTTTGGGCTACTCAAATATTTTTTCCCTTTTGTTTTGTGTTCCAACTGGCAACACTGACACAAGGAGAGAGCATACTTAAGGGAGCGTTAGGTTGCAATGGGCCTTTTTTATTTTCTTCCTCATGTGGAGCTGAGTTAAGTTGTAAGTTTTTGTTCATGTAAGCAAGACTGTACCTCATAAACTTTTTCTTTGTATATATTTGTAGATATTGGTTGTATATGAATTTAAAAATAAGTACCCTTATTTTGTTTGTCTTCCATACCACATGGTGACAACACTACCTCTTCCACACAATACCATATTAAGATTTATTGTGAATTCCACACTTTCCACCAACTGTTTTTGAGCAAAGATTGCATCTGTTGTTCCAGTTCCTGGCATAAAGCCAAATTGTTCTTCACATACAGCTGTCTCTTTCCTTAACCTTCCTTCCACAATTCTCTCCAGATCATTTATTCAGTGACATCAAGTTAATTCCCCTGTAATTCCCACATCACATTCCTTCACATAATATTTTTCTTCCACTCAGCTAGTATCCTCTCTTGTGTCACAACTTTTTTATAAGATCCCATACAATATCAACATATCAATATCCTCCTTGCCCAAATATCTCCATACTTAGCTGGGATCTGATCAGCTCCTTTGCTTTCCCATTCTTCATTTTTCTAAGTGACCTTCCATCTACATATTGTTTATATCTGCTGCCACTCTTTCATTTGCCTCTGCATACTCACATAGAACTCTTGGATTTTCCTCATTCAGTAGCTTCCTAAAATAATTCTTCAATTATTTCCTTTATCTTCTCTTGGTATTGTAACACTATGGTTTTGATCTTTTATCTGTTTTATTGATGTGAAATCCTTTAATACCTTGTTAACACTGTCTGTCATCATTATTAATTTATTTGAAAAATTTCTACAAGTACTTTCGACAATTTCAGATTGTCTTCTTTAGGTATAGACTAATGGAACTTTACATTAGTCTATACCTGAAGAAGAAAATCTAAAATTGTCGAAAGTACTTGTAGAAATTTTTCAAGTAAATTAATAATGATGACAGACAGTGTTAACAAGGTATTAAAGAATTTCACATCAATAAAACAGATAAAAGATCAAAACCATAGTGTTACAATACCAAGAGAAGATAAAGGAAATAATTGAAGAATTATTTTAGGAAGCTACTGAATGAGGAAAATCCAAGAGTTCTATGTGAGTATGCAGAGGCAAATGAAAGAGTGGCAGCAGATATAAACAATATGGAGATGGAAGGTCACTTAGAAAAATGAAGAATGGGAAAGCAAAGGAGCTGATCAGATCCCAGCTAAGTATGGAGATATTTGGGCAAGGAGGATATTGATAAAGGAAAGAGACAGCTGTAGGTGAAGAACAATTTGGCTTCATGCCAGGAACTGGAACAACAGATGCAATCTTTGCTCAAAAACAGTTGATGGATAGTTACAGAGAGATACAGGAAGAACTGCACATCGTATTAATTGATTTGGAGAAAGTGTATGATAGGGTGCCTAGACAGGAGGTATGGAGATGTATGAGGGTAAAGGAAATACCAGAAAAGTATATAAGACTTGTAAAAGAAATGTATAATGGAGCAAAGACTCAAGTAAAGAGTAGTATAGGTATGGCTAAGGGATTCATTGTGAAAGTGGAACTGTAGTCCAACCAATATATCCATAAACAAATTGAACAAATTCTACTTGATTTGGTTATGGATGTATTAACAGAAGATGTGAAGAGCAAGGCACCATAGAGTATGCTGTTTGTAGATGACACTGTACTCTGTGAAACATACCAAGATAAGGTAGAGAAGAATCTGGAGGAATGGTAAAAAGTGCTGGAAGAAAGAGACATGAAGATCACCAAAGCAAAGACAGTATATATGACACTGGTGGAAGGGATGAGAGTTATACAAAACTCTTATCCCCTCCACCAGAGTAAAGGTAAAAAAGTTAATAGCAGCTTCCAAATTTAAGTATCTTGGATCATGTGTAGCAAGTATTGGAAGAATGAATGCAGAAATCTAGCAAAGAGTTCAGAAATAGATGGCTGAACTGGAGAAAGATGAATGAGGTGCTGTGTGATAAGAAAACAAGATGCAAAATTAAAGGAAGACATTAAGCACTGTACATCATTCCAGGTCTTAAATGTGAGATCTGCAATGATGTCTAGTGCTGAGTTATGGGCAATTAGAAGAGCCCAGGAAAAGAAGATGAAGACAATGGAGATGGATGTAATGTGACCATTTTTGAACATAAGCTCTATGTGATGTGACATCTTCACAATAAATGAATATTTATTGTGAAGACGGTCTTTAAAAATAACTGAAAACATTTGTAATTAAATTGTTTTTGCTGCTTATAAAGGTTTTCCGAGTGTCTGAATTGCCATTATCACAAATTCTATTTTTACAATAATAGAAACAGATAATATCTAGAAATAGTCAACAATATTTTTCAGAACTGATATTTCAAAAGACATAAGATTTAAAAATTAAATTAAAATATCAGCAAGCACTTCTATAAACTTAACTATGAAATAAGTATCTTAGATATCCCTCTCTTAGCATGGTCTTGGTTCAATTTAAAAAATTCTAATAAAAACTATGATTAAAATTTTTATGAATAAAAACAAACCAGAATACTTTAGAAAATTATAAAAATATAGTGAACCAAATTTGCTAATAGTTACAGCTTAAGTTAATAAATTAAGTTGTTGCTTCTATTGAGACTAATTAAACTAAGAGTTAAAAATGATCTACATTTTTCCCCTCTTATTACAAAATGCATTCCTTTAATTTATGAATATGTTCAGCTTTGTTATTTCTTTCATTTACTTTTAATAAACTAAAATAAAGGTTCATCAACTTCAGTTTCACAGACTCAAATTTTCACATTTTGTGAATAAATAAAACTAGGTATTAGCAGTTTGTATTCCTAAAGTATCATTTACTATTCTATGTTAATATTGATATGTCATTACTTTCAAAATAAAAATAAAATATGTTTTTAACATCTTAATCTATTTAAAAAGTAAACTTACTGGCTTATCTTTAATTGTGGGACTAGAAACACACAAATATAATTTATCATCTTCTTGTATACAAGCATCAATAAGAGCCTGTACTGATGATTCATCTTGAAATAACAAAAATGCATAGCCTGAAATATAAAAATGTTTTTTTTTTTTTTTTAAAGAAAAAATTAGAATTATTATTTATCAAAATTTTATAAATATAAATTTTCAAATAGACATAATTATTCAAATTAATCCTCTCTTTATAAAAAGAAAATGTTATCAAAATATGACATTTATGCAAAGTGTGGCAATATGCCATATCACTGTATATGTTTTGATATAAGTTTAATTTTAAGTTTTCTTTCTTTTTTGTTTCCTCTTTTGTTTTCTTGAATTTTCGACTAACATTCCTTCCTGTGGGTGAAGTAACCCTTTCTAAGAACCACAGTAACAATGGGAAGCGAGAGCCCCGAGGCTACTATAATGGATAAGGAGGGTCATTCTTGAGTCAGACTTTTGATGAAGGCAGATATGTGAAAGATATGCTCCTTTGTCCTTCTAAAGGGAGATGAAAGTGGCCTGGAAAGGAGAAAAGACCCTGTCAACTCAAGGAGAGAGAGACAAACTTGTTTAATGAGGATAATTGAAGAGATCCAATTAATTAAGGATCATTGGGAAATGATTTATAGTGGTTCCCCACCAGAAGAGCATCAATACCAACCAGAAAATCCAGGTATTCTTTATAACCTCTTCTTCTATCATACTAAACTTTATGATATTCTTCCTTACTCTTTTAGTTTATTATTTAGTATAAGTATCAGTTGTAAGATTATATGTCCGTCTTTTCTTAATTGTCGCAAGCAGGTTCCTTTACTTTGTATTTACTCAATTCCTTGCACCTATTTTTGGATATTCTGTAACACCAAAAGTTGGAATCCGTAAAAGAATCCTGTATATTACTGTTCACATGACAGTAAATATATAATTCTTGTTATTTATCCATGTACTGCCTTTTGTGGACCATTGTACACTCGCGTGATTCTCACAAAAGTAATAAAAGGTGCTAATTACAAATACCCGTTTGAGTGTAGAATTTATTATCATATTGAAAATAATTGTTTTTGATTATTATTAAGCATAATTTAATTAACCATTCTTGTGTGTTTATTCTTGTTAAAGATCTTTCAGTATCTTCTATTGTAATACCAGGGTATATATTTATAATGTCCAATGATACCAACTTCATATTATCATTAATTGTAATATTATTACATTAATTAAATTATCCACAACCGTGAGGCAGATAATAGTGAGGGCTTATCAGACTAATGATGGGCACAAATGCTCAGGGATCAAAGTGAAAACAATTTAATAAACTCAAAAAATTACTACATAAGTGTGAAAACAAAAACCCAAAATGCATTTTGGACTATTTTCCCAATAGAAAATAGTCCCTCATCAATTGGTATTAGTTAAAGGTAATGCTATAATAGAATTATACAAGGTAACGGTCAACTTAAAAACTAAGCTTAAAGTTTTACAATATAAAAATTGAAGACACCACTGTAACAGTATGAGTAGTAAGCATCATCAATAAGTATTATCTAAAGTAGATGGTATATTAAAAATTATACAAAGTAAATTTAAAACTATGCCTAAAACTATACAATATAAAGGTGAAGACACCATTATAACAGTATGAGCAGTAGGCAATATCAGTGTAGACAGGTATAATAAATCTTCATGACTGCATGGTGGAGTGACATACATGGTGCTGATACAAAACAGTTGTAAGTTAGACAATTATTAGTTAACACTAATGGACTAAAGTTATACAGACAGGTAATGTACATACCAACAGAGGTAGACAACAGAGTAAGACGACAGAGTAGCAGGTGCCAGCTTACAACAAGGTGTTGGGAGTGGTAGTGAGGGAGGTGTGTGTCAGTCCACATCTGGTGTACAAGTGGTGACAACATATGATACAATTACAAGTTCCGAACAGTTTTTAACAATACATATGGTCATAACATCACAAAGATATTTAGTTTTTAAAAGATATAATTATACCATCCTTTATCAATTTTAACACCTAAGTTATCATTAATTCTATTAACATTATCAATTTTTAAAATCTCTATGTGCTCAAAATACTTACGTTTATAAGTTTAGTTTCAAATTTTATTGCTTTTATTGTACTTTTATCAATTTCACAACCATATAGATTGCAGTGCTTGGCAACTGCAGAGTATTCAGAATTGTATTTGATGGCGTTTATGTGTTCTTTTATACGAACATTGAGACATCTTTTTGTTTCACCTAGATAGGTCATAGGGTTATTATAGCTACACTTAAACCTGTATATCACATTGCTTTTTTTAAGGATATTAACCATATTTGTTGATCAATAAAAAATATAAAGCAATGGGATCGGTGAAATTTCTAAAAATATAATTTCTAAAAATAAAAGATTATCTTTAGATAAGATAAACAAGTAAACTAAAAACTCTTTCTTAAACCAATTTCGAGTAATTTGTATTAGCAGACAAATAATTAACAAAGATACTTTACTTCAGCCAACTCTATTTCTTTTATTACTTTCAAATTTCTCAAAAAACTCTCCATTTCTCCAAACTCTCATGGAGAGTTTTTTGAGAAATTTGAAAGTAATAAAAGAAATAGAGTTGGCTGAAGTAAAGTATCTTTGTTAATTATTTGTCTGCTAATACAAATTACTCGAAATTGGTTTAAGAAAGAGTTTTTAGTTTACTTGTTTATCTTATCTAAAGATAATCTTTTATTTTTAGAAATTATATTTTTATTAACCATATTGTTTGGATGGTTTGGTTGGATGTATTTTTAGGTTTTATTACAAAGGTCAGGGACTAAATTGATGTTGGTACTGTTTAAGACCATTTTAATTTCTCAAACATATTTTTGACATATGTTAGTTTAAAGAACTTTTTAGTATCATTGTTGTTAACAGGATTAACAGTATGGGCATTGTTGTTATTATTATTACACTTAAATTGTTTTAGCCATTTATCTAGAAGTACTTTTGGGTAATTATTTAGTAAGAAGGTCTGAACAATGTCCATGATCTCAATATTCTTTTCGTAATCAGAGGTAGTTCTATTGGATATCTTTTTGATGAAATTGGCAAAAATGTTTCTTTTTATGAACAGGGGAGTATGTGAGTGGTAGTTCATGACTTTATTAACGTTACAAGATTTTTTATAATTTTCTATTTTAAGGATATTAGAATGTCTAGTAACTAAAAGGAGTGTGATGTATGTGTTTCTATTCAATTGTAATGTTCCCAGGCTTTCGTGTGATGTATGAACCCTATAGAGGAGAGAATGATAGGTACAATAAGCACTCTAGCCATTCTCCACAGATGCCTTATTTCCTAAGCGAGTTCTATATACTTGCTGATTTTTTCAGTGCATGTGTTTTATACATTGTGAGGTTTGGAATGGGTATGTCTGTAATGTATGTGATTTATTGTATCTTTGAGTATTGTTTTCTGTACTTTTTATTATTTGTGACCTGATCCTGTATGGCAATCAGAAACCCTTCAGTCTCCCCAAAGAGGCATCCCCAAGTTAACTAGCTGTTTTATGCAGTTTTGTCAACTTATTATTATTGTTGTTGTTATTTGCTTTTTTGTCTTGTTTTATTATTAATATTTTTTATAGCTACTAATTTGCTATTACTTCAAAAAATTTATCAGACCACAGTTCTTTAATTTGAAAGTTAATTAACTTGTAAGAGATTTTTTTATTAAACCAATATGTATATTTTGAGTTCATCAATACCCTTCAACAGTTGGTTTTTTTCTGTTAAAACATAAAACAAATTGTTTTTACTTTACCGTAAATTTACCATATGTTTTAATTAATTAATTTGTATGGTAAATTTAATTCTTCTAACACAAAATTGGCTTAATTTGTTACAAACTAAATTGGCCAATGGGAAAGTTGTTCAACTGATTTTTCTATTCAAATTTCCATTGTAGACTTAAGAGTAAGAACAATTTAGTCTCAATGAATAATCATAAATTGCAAAAAGGCAACAGAAAAATAAAAAAATTACTAGAATCACAATGGAACTGAAAAAAGAGATTGTTGAAAAAGATGAAGGTGGCATGCGTGTTCAAGATTTAACTGTTGCATACCGTATTCCAAGAACGACGATATTGACAATCCTGAAAAATAAAGACATTATTAAATTTGCTAATGTTGTGAAAGGGGTTAAATCAATTTTTAAACAGAAATCGAAGACATTAGATCATGTTGAGAAATTTCCTTTGCTTTGGATAACTGAAAAACAGTGTGCTGGCGACAGCGTATTGGAAGCAATTATTTGCAAGAAAGCTAAAAAGATACATGCTGATCTCATGAAAAATCAAGCAGGAACTAGCCATGAAAGTGAGGTGTTTAAAGCCAGCCATTTTTTTACATGAGAATGGATTAATCATTTTTACATTACTTCTTATGGGAAAGGTTGGCTTGGTATAAGTCCAAACACCAAGAATGGATTAAGGTCATATACCGAGGTTCCACTGTATTGTAATTTAAAAGGATATGAAGTAGATTTCAACACAATAAAAATAAAGAAAAAAGAGAAAAATAATTATAAAAGACAATTATATAAACACATCTATATAGTTAAACAAAATGACAGAATAAACAACACAGGAAGAGGAATAGATCAATCATGGAATAGCATAATCCATAGAGTGAGTGAGGGAAAGTATAAAAAGGAGAAATCAAGTGAAGTTAAAGCGATGTTCAAGGGAAAATGAAAACTCTATGATATAAGTTTATTAGAACATCTTTAAATCAGTCTTCATTAATTTAATTATTTATATTGTTTTAAAGCAGGAATATGTTTGAATCAATACTATTGAAATTTGCAATAAATATTGTAGGTTTTGAGGATGTACTTAAAAACACAGAAATTGTAAGTTTTAAATTGATTTATTGTTGGAAATTTTATGTTTTTTAAATAATTTTTGTAACAAATTCTTAAATTGAAATTTTTAGAGAATGTCTATGGTAAACCTTCTAATGAGGGACCAACAGATCCGAAACACAAAGATATCGTGTATGTGTTCAGCTGATAAATAAAGACTATTTTT